AAGTGAAAGGGTCGGGTACATTCTCAGAACATACGATATGCAAGGTTTTTAAGGCCCGGTCTAGCTCCAGCATGTGAGGGGGAGTATTGGTTCGGCACGACACCTTTGGYATTATAGGTGAAGGTTGAACTTGGCACCATAAAACCCTAACAACACATTTTGCACTACCCCCCATGGGTAACRAACGACCGGATGATCAAGCCTGCTGAGAGTTTTTTCYGTACCCACACAGCACTCTCCCTACCCTCCTCCGTCGCCGAGAGGTGATGGCGTCATGCCACCAGTCTAACATGTGAGMGGAGATCACCTTCGGAGCAGACCAATTTTCGCCTATAACACAGAAGGCGTCATGCCAAAGCAACATTCCCCCTCACATGTCTTAGTTAGGCCGAACCCAAAAAACCTTGCACATCGCATGTTCTAAGAATGTACCCGAGCCTCTCACTGATCATCACTCCCAGAACACCCACCCCGAAATTCTCTCTTTTACAAAAAGACATGGAATAATCCAATAATCACACAAACATATTGAGCCATCAACATACACCCCTTAGTCCTTACCTGGGCGCCAAAGCCGTGCCACACTCTGGTACCTGGGCGCCATAGCCGTGCTCCACGCTGTCGACCCGCACAACAACAACAACAACAACAGCAACAACCACAACAACAACCAGAACCACAACCACAACCACAACCACAAGAAGAAGGGGAAGGGGAGGGGGAAGGGGAAGGGGAAGAAGAAGAACGAGGAGGACGAGGAGAAGGAGGAGAAGGAGAAGAAGAAGAAAAAAAAGAAGAAGAAGAGGGGCGCCATAGCCGTGCTCCACACTGGTACCTGGGCGTCATAACCGTGCTCCACGCTTTCGACCTGCACAACAACAACAACAACAACCACAACAACAACCACAACAACAACCAAGAGAAGAAGAAGAAGAAGAAGAGGAGGTGCGGAAACCATACCTGCGTCAGGGTACTTACCTGGGTGCCATAGCCGTGCTCCACTCTGGAGCCTGGGCGACATAGCCGTACTCCACACTGTCAACCTGCACAACAACCACAACAACACCCACAA